AGGGCGTGGCCGGGGCCCAAAGTGGACAATATCATGCTACAGCGGAGTCGAGACTTAGATGTGACACATTTACTTTAACAGGTGTTACACGACATGACCCGTTAAGATTTCAGATATGTCACAAAAATGACACGAACACGGAAAACATGACACGAATGCCATGTCTACTTTGCACCATTTTTTTCTACTGTTCAAACTCGATACCTTTTGTAGAAGATTACCCTTCCTCGATTCTTCTTCCACACTTGTGTATAGAAATATCAGCACCTATAGATGTGCAGCAAGTCCACATTACATATCAATTCATGCTGATATCCATAGTCGAAACATCCAACCAAAACAAAAACATTAAATTTGAACCGGAGAGTGACCAGAGAAAGCAGAGAAGAAGCAAACTCTAGTTGCTTGGTTTTTGGGTTCGTCTTCAAGATTTTTATGAGAATTAATTTACAGCAAATGTAGAAAATAGTGTGGAATCGGCAAGCTCAGTCGCACTGGGATTTTATCAGGTGAGTTAGGGTTTAAGGAAAGATAAATCGTTCGTGAACAGAGGGCTATCTTTTAAGGTCTTTATTGGTCATTTTACAAATGAGCAAACTTGTAATTAAAATTTTCATTAAAAAGTGAGTGGGGAGATAAGTCAATGGATGGGAATAACAACACTCTAAAGTAATTGTTAACGTTTTTTTTTCCATAAAAGTGTTTTTAGAGCCAATGCTTTAGTAAAAATACAAGTCACTCATGAAATAACACTTTTAAGTGCATTTTGAAAGAAACACCAGTTATGTATTTTGTAAAACCCCTCCCCAAAATTATTTTGTAATTTTACATTTCCCCTAAAATTTTATGTAATTTTTCATTTTGGTCCCATTATCTTATACCCAATCTGGATCCACTGTTAGGATTCTCTCAATTTTTCATCCTCTCACAGACTGCCACGTGGTAGTCTCTTAACTCCCTCTATCTTCTTCTCTCTTTCCCCTCCCCCAATTCAACACTTTTAGCTCTCTCTCTATCTCTCTTAGCTCAGTACTTTTTCTCCTTCACACTCTCTCCCCAATCGAACTTGCACACCAGACACCCCTACACCCAAGAAGGTCCACCAAAGACAACTCCACCACACACACCACCGTGGAAGCACTTTCTCTCTCTCTCCCTCCCTCTCTTCATCTCTGTGGAACCCTAGCGAATCCCGTGGTGTTCGAGCAAAAACCTGGCCACCATTCGACTTTTTCAAGGTATAAATTATCTTACTCTTTGTCGTACCTTCCTTTTTGTAGTTATATCGGAGGTTAATGGGTTATTTTGCCGTTGACCAAAGCACATAAGGCTCCGGCCTCCTTCCTCGGCGAGGAACAAAACCAGGCCTTTGGGCCTAAACCAAAAGCTCATCCTTAAGGCAGCCCAAATCCAAACCCTTATTAGATTAGGCATTTGGGTCGTATAGGACCTGGGCCTTAGGCCTGTTAACCCCTTAAAGCCTAAACCCAACAACCCTTTTTATTTGTATTTATTTATTTTAAAAACCCAAAGGCACTTGGGCCAGGCTTTCAAGCCCAAGCCCTTTGACCCTTACACCTTGGACCCTAGGCCCTTGGGCCAATCCACTTAGGCCTCCGGCCCAATAGCCTCAAGCCCAAAAATTGTTGACTAGCCCATACCTGACCCGTTGACTTTGACTTTGGCCCGTTAAGTTTGACTTTGATCGGTCAACAGTCAACGGTCAACGTTGACTTTTGTTGATTTTTTTAGGGTTTTGTCCAGGACCCCTCCTAAGCTAATTTCGACGTCCTTGACCCGTTTTTTGACGTCCGTTTTCCCAAATTCAGTTGTTTGAGTTTAGTTTTGTTAATTGTACCCTTTATGTGCTGAGGTGTAATTATTAACGGTGTTTCCGTCCCACCTATTTCGTACTGCTCTTCAACAACAGAGTATCTGTTAGTGGACCCCTTCTAAAATGCATGTTTTAATTGTAGAAATGCATACATAAAAAGCATGATTTAATGATTACGTTTTATGAGATATTATGCTTACTGTGAATATTTTGAAATATCATATTTTATCAAACTGATGTTCTTGGTAGTATATAAGATGGATGCCTATATACTGTTTACAAACATGCTTTTACACACTTCTTTGTTGTATATATGATGGATGACTATATGCTATGAAGATGTTTTGAAATATATGTACCTATGTTTGGAAAGACTATATTCAATCTTTTTTTGCGTATCTAGTGGTCACTGTTCTGCCTACGGGCGATGATACTTATATTGGCTTCGGCCGGGCGTAGGTTGGTGCCTGTTTGGCAAATGATACTTATATTGGCTTTGGCCGGGCGTAAGTTGGTGCCTGTTTGGTAAATGAAGTGTTCTGAAGGAAGTGTTCTAAATGAAGAGTTCTGTATGCCTTCGGACGATACTGATACCACTAGTTAGCACACTATATACGATATATGTTTTATGAAAGGTTTTATGGCATGCTAGGGTTTTTGGAAGAACCAATTACATATTATACTATTGATTTTCCATAAAACTTTGGGGGTTAGTATGTTATTGAATAATTGTTTCCATATTATATATATCATCTTGGTCCACTCATGTTTGTTTTGCGCCCCCTCAGGACATAGGGACGAGGATTACAACCTGCGCTACGAGGCTTTTCCCTACTAGTGATATCGTGCCATCATCTCTGTTTTGACATCATTGTAATATCACCTTCCGTTGTACTCTGAATTAGAATATGCTCTGAACATGTCATGCACTACCACTATTTTCACACAGAAATGAGTAGTCACATCTTATTATTTTGCTACCATTTGTATGCTTGTTTCCCATGTTCTCATCATTTGCATTCATAAATGGCTTGCGTCACCTTCAGGTGTCGGCCAGCACATGGCCATCCCGATGTCCCTCGAACATCGGGATTGGAACATGTCATATTTCTTGCAGAAAGTATTTCAAATACTTTTGGAATCCAAAAATGTTTTCATCAAAAACGTTTTCAGTTATTTGAAAAGTACTTCTAAATGAGAATTGATGTTGATTGAAGGGTTAAAAATTAGAGAGAGATATTTTATTGTTACCAATTTATCACGTGACAAATGTTTATAGGATGAATGACACCACTAAAATGTATTTTAGTTGTAAGAGAACATCAATCGATATTAGAGGCCAACCGTACATAACCTGAGAAAATAACCACACATAAAAAATGATCCCATATCACACGAAAACTCCGAAGATACTCCAACTTGGAGTTGCATAAATCTGTCAAAGTCTTTCCAAAAATAAAAAATAAAAAATCTGTCAAAGTTGAGTGAATGAGCCTCAAATCGTTCAACGTCCCTGATCATCAACAACTTGGAAAACTTATATTATGACACAAATCTTTCAAGGTCGAGTGAATGAGTCCCAAAACCTCCCAAGGCTAAAGGTCGCAATTAGAAAGGGAGAAAATTCAAACAAAGAAGGCCCCCAAAACGCACTATTAACGAAAGCCTAAGACAGCCTAAACGGAAACTTCGATTACAAGCAAAGGCTACGAGCGCTAGGCACCTTTCTTAAAATCAATGAAGCCCAAGCAAAGAAAGATCGAGTACAAAACCCGTCGGCCTCCTAAGGCTCTGATGCAGCCTGAGCAACCCTCACCGTCCCTCCCTCGTACACAATTTGTTTGGAACCATCACATTGCGAAAACTTACAACTCTCGCGAGTCTCTAAGCATCGAAGGTGTGCATCCAAGCATCTGATCAAAAGGATCAAAAGATGAGCCAAGTACACTCACTAAAATGTTGGCTAATAATGTCAAATGTCAACCATGGCTCTGTTTGGTGAGCTGGTTTGGATATGTTGTGACCAATTAAAATAGACTTGAGTTTAGTCTTTTGTTTGTTGTGTCAAAATGTGAGAAGATAGGATTGGACATAATGAGTTATGAATCCACAATAGAGTGAGTTATGTAACATATACTTATACATGGATTACAAGTCATGTCTTACATGTCTCTACCAAGTGCCAATCTAATTCTATCCTTAATGCCTGATCTTATCCAGCCCACCAAACAGGCCCTCAATCGTCAAAAACTTCAGTACTTATGCCGCATGGAAGAGAAGTGAAGGGAAAGAACCTCTGGACCTGTTAAGGCATTAATGTACATTTTGCTTTCGATATACTTACCTCTCCTAATTAGAAGCCTTTGCACTATCTACCTTTGAAGTGAGGATCTAACGTAGCCATCAGAGAATGTAGGCTAGCACCACACTAGCTAGTACCACTTTCAGGTCAACCAAACATTGCCCTTAATTGATTCGTTGAATTTCGAGAATTAACAATCTTGCACTTCCATGTTTTCATTGAAAAAAAATGAGTATTAAGCTTAAAGAACTGGTTAAATAGTTCTTCCACATTTTATACCGTCAACTTAAAGGCCTGTTTGTGATTCTAGTTTTTAGTATTCATTATGCTAGAGATAGTAGAAAGTATATATATATGTAAATGTGATCTTTATGGTATAAGATTGATTTTATCCGTGGCTAAATTTATAAAATTTAGAGCAAATGAGGTAACCATTCAAAACGGAGATGACAATAAACAGAGGCAGCGTTGGAGGCGTGCAAAAGGTGTACAGGCACATGGCCCAAATTGCTGAGGGGTCCCCAAGATTTCATCCTCCTATATATGTAAGCTACGATATGTATATTACATCTGTAAGAAAGTTAGAGAGTTTATATGAATAGTATTCTCCTTCCAACAAAAGAGCAAGAAAAGAGAAAAAATAAGGGAACGTAGGGTGGGCAAGGCCAACGAACAAGAGGGAAAGTAGATAAGGATGTGGTGAGGTCGGCGTCAATTAACCTAAACCAGACACGGTGTGAGCAGTTTTGAGAGGCTCCAAAACAACCCACTTTTATCGAACCCACAACATAAGTTTGCAACCCTAATCCCCATGACGTGTGAGCTCCTATATCTCCCCACTCCCATTTATACATACTGACCCTTATATACACATCCCATTATTAATTGTTTCTCCACGTATATATACACTTCAAACACATTGCAGTACGTACGAAAAAACTCATAATATTCTGAACTTCTTCTTCAACGTCATTTCTCTCTTCTTGTACTGGAAACCATGGAAGGCGAAAATATGAGAGCATTCGACATGGGCGCACTAAGAACAGGTCTCCCACAAAAGTAAGAACACAATCAGTTTTTTCTTTCTAGATTTTCCATTTTGATTTCGCATTTCAATTTTTTCGGTTTCTTGAGGGAACATTTTTATCGATTATATATAATCTGGTACGCGTGTGTACAGATCAATTATGTATTATTGTCGAATGCAATGCACCAAATGTACACTGACTTGGTTAATTGAATGCAATATGCACATGTGTGTTTCTCAGCAGGAGAGGGTTGTCAAGGTACTACTCAGGGAAATCAAGATCATTTACGTGCATGGCCGATGTACGAAGCGTAGAAGATCTGAAGAAACCGGAAAATCCCGATGCGAAAAAGAGGAAGAAACATTCGGAGAGGAAGAACTTTCCTGTTCCAGCCTACCCTCCTTATCCATGTCGAAGAGTTTCTAGCACCACCCAATGTACTGCACCCTGCGTTGGCGTGTGAATAATATAAATCAACTGGAGACGAACATGGAAAAGCACTTAACATTCTTTTCTGCAATAATTTGCTGCTTTCCAAAATCTTAAGAGGCGCCTTTTTCGAATCCCGGTCTAAGGATTCGTGTGGTTTTTGGAGGATCTAGCTACTGGAGAACCAGGAATGAAGAGCTAGCTTTCCCTTTCTCCCATATTGTGTATAACTTTAAACATATACATGTATTAGATCCTATATTTCTTACTCAATTTCGGTTTTTGTTTTTGATACAGAAAACAGACTTGTGTAATTGTATCTGTACTAAAATTTGGTTTCGCGTAATATACTTGTGATGAAATCAAATAATTTCAAAAAAACTAAAAGAAAAACTAATAAAAAGACTTCGAAACTTTAAATATTAACTAAAAGTATTTTAATAACTTCATTTAATGATAAGAACAGAAAATGCCCAAAATGTTATAAAGAAATGGGCTTTGAGTGGCATGCCAAAAAATTCACATTTGAATTTCTCTTTTTCCGCTTAAACGAATGAACAAAGGAGAATTCTAGCTACCTTCTCATCTTGCTTTCCTCTTTATCATACAACATGCCGGTTCTTCTATGATCTTACGGTTCATTCATTCATTTATTACGTGTGTGTATTACTAAAATATAAACTTGTCGTGTCTAACCGTGTTATAACGCATACATCAATATCATCACCTGACCAAGTTAGTTCCTTAAAACGCTCAAGTAGAAGATGTTGCTGCTTTAACAATGAGTTGTACAAGGCTGTAACACATAAACCTTGTATGCAACAAGAGTGAACGCTCTAAACCACTTTGAGCAACAAATCCTTGCCACTTGCGCATATAACTGTAGCAAATAAAGGCTCGTTTTGAAGTAATTGTAAGAGGTATTAGGAAAATATCATTTCATTTCTTAAGTGAAATACGATTACAGTTTGATTATATATAGACAAGTCATTTACACACTTGTAATGACAGCTCACCTTTTCTAACCAAAGCTTAACAGGCTCAGTAACAAACTTAAGAAACTCTTTAAGTATTATCCTTTCAGATACATTTACAATATTAGCCTTACTAAGAGCATAATCACTTCTGACGAAAAGCACATGAGAAGCACTTTTCCATAAACACACTTAGAAATTTACTTTTTAAGTGATTTTACGAAAAAATACCTTCCATTCCGTTTCCGTGTGCTTCACTTCAAGCGATTTTACCAAAAAACATACCTAACAACATGTTTTTCTCACCAGAAGCACTTCCACGCTACGATATAACATTTTTCCGCTTTCCGCAACTCAATCCTAAATATTTTCCAAATCCATGGTGGAAACTAAATTCATGATGGAATGAAAAGGAAGTTTGAAACTCACGGTCACTTGTTTAGTTATTTCAGGTACATTTTCGAGGTTATGGTTTTCTCTTCAAGTTACACTGCTAAAATTCTGTCTACTAAGTTAGGAAGACGACGACACATTACACCTTCAACCAAAAAAAAAAAAGAAAAAAAAAAGAGGGAAGCATAGACCGCTTAATTTGTACCGGCTCCACCTAACAAACAACAACTGAGCCAACCTCCCAAAAAAGAATGAGTGCTTCTCACTAATGGTACAAAATTAGAACTGAACTGAGGCCTCCACGTTATCCACGGAATAACTATTGCAACTTTATCTTCTTGTCCGTGACCGAATCCCAATTATCAAATATGACAAGGTCATCGTCGTCATCAACCAGTTCCAATTTCTCGGGATTTCTTGTACTACTGCCAGCAACACTCGACAATTCTGGATTCGCGGACTCAGAAACCTCAGACAGTTTTCTTTTCTTTCCAGGAGTAGTTTCAATGTCATCAGTCTTTTCAGGCTCCATAGATGATGATGCACTTGATGAACTTCCAGCATTTGCAGTAGACTTCTTGTCATCCTGTGCCACTGCAGGAGCTTGAGTCCACCCAGATAGAACCATTCCATCGGGTTCTTTCTCTTCATCAAATTCCTCTCTGCACAAAATTAAACTTGCTAAATTATCACGTAGATTTAGATTACATGGTATAAAAGAAAAAATAACATCACCCGACCCCTATAAAAAAGAATGGCAACTAGAATCAGAAAATGCTTCATGCAACCTCAATAGCTTACTCGGTTAGGTTTGGTAACATGGCTTCTGTTTGCTTACTATCTTACAAAAAAAATTCAACTTAAACAGCTAAGTGAAGCTTCATTTCTATAAACCATAACAAGAAAAGTAGCTATTCCAAATGCTCATGTCTTGAAGTCATCCATCATGTTGTAAAACATTAGATCTTAAGAAGCAATTTAATGATGCATAGGAAGCTTGCAGATCAACTGGATAAAGAACCTGTGTTTAATATTGATCTTGCACGACAGTTCTTGCAGAAAATCCTCAATTGTCAGCATGGTCCCACTGGTAACTGGTGTAGGAAGCTCAGACAGCACCTGCAATTTTATGTAAAATATTTTAAAAGAATCACACATACAAGACACATGTATCAGGTGAACTTACATTAGCAAGTCTTCCCGAAACACAGGAAAAGAATTCATACCTTATCAAGGTTTGCTGCATAATTTGCTACCATGTCTTCGTCCAAGTCATCACCAACTTCATAAAGAAGGGCTGAACCATGCATAATGAGTGGCAAGCCCATCCCGAGCGTGGCTCTAACAATCTTTTCAACTACATCCCGCAACTTTGTACGGTGAGTATTGATCTCAAGTGATAGTGGTGTCTGCTTACAATCATATTGCATTAGTGCACATCACAATTCTTATTTAACTGTCAGCTAAAAGATCCCACAAAGATGGAATTTTAGAAAGAGCAATCAGTGTACCTCTGAACAGACATAGCAAGACTTGTTAGGCTCAAATGGATCCACTGGCATGAGCAACATTTTTCTTGCTGGATGTTCTAGACAATATGTCATCCTACATAGGCATTCAGATCAGGGTAGAATCAGACCACACGAAAAAAGAAAAAATAAACAAAATAAACAAAAAACTAAAAACAAAAAAACTCAGTGTAGAACAAACCAGTGGCAAAAAGAGTAAAGCCAATTTTGTAATACAGACTTGCTGAATTACCATCATCACTGATATATTGTTCAGATTTCAATTTCCCTAATTGTTAAACTGGTATGACTTCAATCAAACAAAAGGAAATTGAAAATGACTTAAAAGTAGGACCCTTCTGATTACCCCTATGTGCAAGCCAACCAGTACAAATTCCTGTTTTCTTCCCATCAGAAACAGTCAAGAATCTCTTTTTTATATGATCCTGGCTCTAGCCTCCGATGCACATTAACTAATTAAAAGTGCATTTCTGAGTGTGAGTAATGTATGTGTACCGATGCATAGCACAAGTGTGTTTGTGTGCAGATACAATCAGTCGATAAAAGATAATAATAAAATCCAAAAGCAGAACATTTTCTCTTCATTTTGAAATACTAAAATTCAGAATAGCAAAATGGAACATTTTTTAGAAGTTAAAGGAAGAGAAACGGAGAACAAACGAAACACTTTTTTTTATTACAAAGTCAATTGCACAAACCTATAGTTCTTTGTATCATTTTGCAGCACCTTGATTGCCTCAATGACAATCAACCCAGCAATAATAGCATTCGTTGTCGCAACAGCATGTACAATATTACCAGCAATCCCTTTAGCTTCAAAAAGGCTATGCAACGGGATTCCAAAAGAAGCAGCCCGTATATTTGCAGCAGCAGTAACAAACTCCACAGCTAGCTGATCATCTTTATCAAAGGTGAGATTTCCAATTTCCTGCCACCAGTACCCCAACCCCACAAAGACAATAACGACAAATGAAAACTTAGAAAGAGTTCTCAGAACAAAATAAAGTTATGAGTTCAGTCCAGACATAAGGAAAATAAATGATCGTGCAATGACTTTCCTTAATACAAGAGTTCAAACTAACCTTCTGCCTTTTCATGAAAAATAGTTTCAAAGCCTCAAGAAAGACTCTGGAATTTTCCATAAGGCTCCATATATCCTGTGGATTCTTCATTCCTAGAGATGCCATGGCAGATACTGAATATACTTCATTGGCTGCACCATTCTTTTCCACACTTCCATTCTGTTGACCGAGCTCATTGAGCATGACATCCCTAATATACATAGGCTTTGGTCTATTGCGGTTCTTCCATGTCTCCTCATTAGACAAAGCTTGCTCAATATTATAACCAAATACATGATCATATATTCTCCTTCCATACTGCTCAATGTCTTCATCATCTCTATGTTCAAATACATCTTCAGCCTGTTTTGATGAGCTAGCACCATCACTAGAACGCACATTCAAATCATTTGCCTGATTCTTGTCCCCAAACAACTTTGCAAAAAGAAGTTCCTTTGCCCATACGATACAGTGAACAAACTGCAAATACAGATTATACGGTCAAAGCCTAGACCCAAGGAGCGGGTGGTTATCTTGAACAATGATGTTTTTATCCTTTTAATGAGTTGGAGGAAAATGATCATCGTCCAATCCAACTAATAGTTTGTTCCAAGCAAACTATCAAACCATATAATCTTAGTTATCTCTTGTTTAACCGTCAATAACATTTTTATGGCAGAAACGTCATCCACAAACCAGAAAGCTTATACCAAATTCATGTAAATAGAATTGTAGCAGCAGTGGTACTAGTAATATGGAAAAAAGAAAACTAATCTATTAACTATTAACGGTTTCCACAGTTTCTTGGTTCCCCATGGATTCCTTTGTGTTCTATTACTTGTGTTGTTTTCCCTTCCAAATTATTCAATTCTCCATGGTAGAATTAGAGAGCTTTAATTTATGGGATATAAGTAAACAACTATCAATAAAAAATTCTGAATTACTAATACAAGTGACATAGAGGTCGCACTTGGTGCGATGGCAAGTGCCTTCGCCCATGAGCGGTAGGTCTCGGGTTCGAGACTTGGGAGCAGCCTCTCCATAAATGGGGGTAAGGCTAGCCGACATTCACCTCTCCCAGACCCTGCGTAAAGCGGGAGCCTTGTGCACTGGGTACGACCTTTACTAATACAAGTGACACACAGTTATTCTGAGCCGACAAAACAAAAAACAAAAACAAAAAAAAACAAAAAAAACAAAACAAAAAAGAAAAAAAAACAAAACTATCCATCAACAATACCTTTGATGGAGTACTGGTAATGGTACAGACAGGATAAGTTTTAGGAGCAGGTTTTGGTTGACACTCATAGCACTCTGTTCTTCCCTTCACATGTACAGTCACCTGATTTCAAAAAATTCAACAAATAAGTAAAAAGGGAAGGAAAGAATCTTCACACAGAACCATCTGCAATGAAGCATTTTGTAAAACAAATAAAAGAACAATTGAAATAATCAAAATGATGCAGAAGTTTGAATATGTTGGTCATATGAGCTGGGTTATTTCCACCAAAGAAACTATAAAGTGAAAGTACATGGTACAAGAAACATCTCTCCAAATCTACATCTAACCACAATAAAAAAAAGGATACTTGAAACTATTTAACATTATGCAGGAATCACATAATGGAAGACGAAAATTCATATAGCTGACCTCGTATGATTGGAACAAAGGTAATGACGATAAGATGATAAGATGATGATGATTAATGTAGCATTTCTATAACACAAACTATCATAGACAAACACATAATGTAGAATATTATAGGATCCTTAGCTCATCTAGTTATCCAATAAAGCACGGAAAAGCTTAGACAAAGATAAGATAGTTCACTGCATGAACTCAGCTAAAGACATTCCATTTGGAAATCCTTTCTGCAACTGCTATAGGGCATTATCCAGATCAAAAACCACTACAAAAGAAGCAAAGAAATTATATTTCCAGACCTAAACATCTTTGACATATGAAATTGGCATTGCAATTCATCAAACCAGTTACAATTCTACAATGCTCAAGTGATCTCAGATCAAATATATTCACACACACAACATACAAGGAACCAGAAGCATAATGGGCAGGCAAAATTTTACTAGATACAACAAATTGACAGACCAAGTTCAATTAAAAAATTTTGTTTCTTGTCAGACAATTCTAAAGCAATAGGTCACCTGTCCAAGGAACCCAGTCGTCCCACTTTCAATCAAGGGAACATCAGCTCCCAAGCATAGGCGATTCACATGTCGCCTTGCATCTAAGTTGTCAAGTCCATTCAAAACCACATTAAATTGCTTAAAGAAGTCCACATTGAAGTCAGAATCCTTAACATTTGCATGGTATGAAGTTATGCTTATCTCAGGCCTAAATTTTAAGACAGCTTCCCGAGCAACCTGTTAAAATATCGATGAAAATACCATACACAGCACACCAATTCAAATTAGAAAGTATATGATATAGTAAATATACTTACTTTGGCTTTGGATTGGCCAACATGTGATTGTCGGAAGAGGAATTGTCTGTTGAGGTTACTCACTTCTATAGTGTCCATGTCGATCTGCAATTTAAGATAACCAACTGCAAAATGAATAATTACCCAAAGAAACAAAGTAAACTGGCTCATTCTTGTATATACACGGAACCTGGAAAAAATAATGTTTATTTATATCAATCTGGAGACCATGAATTGAAAATTAATATAGGGATCTATTCAAAGTAGTGGTAAATATATAGTTCATCTGTTTTCTAAATTAGATATCATATACCACATCAATATTGCTAAAATATATAGTATTGCTATCTTTCTGCTTATTAAACTTTTACACAAATGATAGTAGTTCCACCGCATAGCATATGAAGCAATAAGAAATGGACAGCAATGAAGGTACAAACTAAAGAATTAACCAGGTAACACTGAAGAAAAATTAATACTTATGTGTGGGTTGAAGCACTTCAGTATTCACCCTGACTAACACTAGTCAGCTACAATACCTTACCATAAGTTCAAAATATTTCACTTATTGCTAAAACGAGCAATCCAAGACACACCCTAAGGTCCAAGCCTTAAGTAACAAGTCGCCACCAATTTGACTCCTGAAAACCTTAGAATAATTCTCTGCCAATTTGATTAGGCAGAACCTAGATTCTTCTAAGAACATCTTAATCTTATATTCCTGCGTCAATAATCACAAGCATCAAACAGCAACGACTATGATCATGAAAGAAGTACCAATACTGATTCATCATTTCATCGCTTTTCACTCTAAATTGACACATGATTACCTGTACAGAGAAGTCAAATTTTTTTAAGAAAAATGAACTAAATTTGGTAATAAAAGAACTCTTTTCCCTAAATAAAACCCTAAAACCAACACATAAACTTCAATCAACAAGCGTAAGATGGGGAACACATAATGAAAACCCTAGAACACAAAACCCTAGTAAACCACCATAAAATAAGAAAGTAGCAGAAACCCATCCCTTAAAATTAACAACAAAAGAGAGAGAGAGAGAGAGAGAGAGAGAGAGAGAGGCGCACAATATGAATATCTTGGAAGCCAGAGAGAGCGAGAGTCTTGAGAAGCTCGCAGCCGATACCACCTGCCCCAACCATGAGCACTTTCGCGCCCTGCAAAAAAAAAATTCAGAAATATTTTTCAAAATTAAACCCAAAAAAACCCCAAAACCCACTCAGAATTCGAGCAGGGAGAGACTTTCACAGTTGGGGTTAAAGATTTTCAACGGAAATTTTGACAGTTGGGTGTTGCAGCAGTACCTTAACAGCGGCCAAGTGTTTCCGGGAAGCCATGAGAGTTGCAGAAGAAGAAGAAGCTAGGGGTAGAAAGGGGAGGACCGCAACAGTGGATTGGACTTAATAGCAGAGCAAGCAAGCAATTTGTGAAATACCAGAGAGGGAGAGATAGGTGGGTAGGCTTAAGAGTTTAGACGGGTTTGTGGAGAATCGAACAGGGGACGTGGGGGGATCTTGGACTGTTGGGTTGCGGTCGTGAAAGGACGGCTGCTGAGGGTTGAGGGCGCCAAAAAAACAGCTAAAAAGTGGAAATTTCACAGCCAAAAAAACCTCCCTTTTTTACTGTTCCGTCGTTTGTGCGAGAGGCCTCTCTCTCTTCCTTTCCTCCTTAATATTGGGGTTTTGAGGGTTTTGACTCTTTTTGGCCTACTTTGCTATGTCTTGGGGTAAATGGATAAGCATTTTCCTTATGCTACAAATATGAGAATGCAAATCAGTCGATCCGGGAAGACGTTGCTTTGCTTGAGTGTTGTGTGTGCGTTACTCATGACTTGATCACGAGAAATGAGATAATAGTGCAATAAATGTGGAATAAGATTCGTGCACAATTTGTCGAGCAGTTTCAAAGCACATTCTAGACTAAGCAATCTTTATCAAATAGGTACAAACATTTACATAAAGAGTTAAAATCTTAGCAAGAAGCCCGTACAAAGCGGAAGCAAATTTATCAAAGTGGCAATTATCTTGCCTACGAGGTAATAACATTTTATTATTAATAATTTAATTAACATGTTACTATTATAATTTATTATGTTATTTCGCAATTATTTTTTTAGTAACTACAACCACAAATGTGATACAATCTTTGTGGATGCAAATTTCTTCCTCCTCGATCTTGGACGATTTTGCACCTACAAAACAATTAACACCTTAGGTTAAGGCCAAGAGCCTCACGCGCCCACGATGAATGGGGGGGGCTTTGGCCGAAGAACCTCCGATGCCAAAGTTAGAATTTAGAGAGAAAGAGTGTTTAGAGAATTTTGAGATTTTTGCCAAAGTGTTGGAATTAGCTTTTTGGTGAGAATGGGAGTATATTTATAGGGATAGGAGGTGGCTAGGGTTTTTAGGTTTAATTTAGGTTTAATTAGCCAATTTATTTGGCTATTAAACATAAGATGAATGTTTTGGTGGTTTTTGAATTTATTGGGTAATAAAAAGGAAGAAATGGTGAAAAAGGTAGAAAAAAGTGATGGATTAGGTTTTGAAATGGGGATAGCCGGCCATGTGGTGTTTTAGGGTTGAATTGGATGTATTTTGTAGTTATTTGGATATAATGGATGGTTTAATTGACAATTAATGGGTTAATTAGGCAATAAACCCATTAATTAGCCAATTAACATAATTTAAAAGGAATGTGTTTGGGAATTACCTTGTAGAAAGGATTTGATAAGATGGACTTTGAATTGTTACCTATTTTGGGCACTTCTGTCTTGGTTGAAAGAGGGTTGCCCGCTACTTGCGCGTAGGAACCTCGTTGTACTGCAAGGGTATTTTTGTCATTTTTGTCCAAAAATCCACGTGTCGCCCTGTGAATATTTTTGGCTCCACAAATGCCCCCACACCTGTTGGGCTGCTCGCAGAAAAGGGCAGCAGGTGTAGAGATCTTTTTGCTTTAGGAAACTTAGGACTGCTTCCTATTTTGATGTAGATTCTCTCTTTAATAGGAAATTAGATCCTTCTAGGAAAGGGAAATAAATTTCTCTCAAAGCCTATTTAAATCCACCTTAAGTGGGTTATTAAATCAACTTTGGAGAGCGATTTATTCTACCCTACAAGAGAGAGATAGCTTAGAGGATATTTGTTCCCCCTCATCTAGCAATCTTCTACATCTTGCCCGTGCAAAGGACCGTCTTTCGTTGATTTCTTCGTCTTCTTCGTGGATAGTGCTACCGCGGGGCAGCCGTCGGGGTGGTGCGGCACGTCGGCTGGCATGGGCCAAGAGTCGACTCGGCATGGGCCGATGAGGTATTGTGGCAGGGACCACTGCTTTAAGCTGCTCGACTTGGCTAGAACCAAGGGCAACTTGTGTGGCTGGGACCTCGGATTGTGGCACTGGGGCGCAGTGTTAGGCAAGTCACATGGCTCATGTCTTTTTAGGCTTTTGGACATGACTCGAGCTAGGCTGGTGATTGAGAGAAATGAAGAGGTTGCGAACCTCATGAACTGCTGGAATGTTGGGTTGAACTTCCCTGCTAGGTACCACGAATGATGTTGGCTACTTTAACTCTTTTCGTCAGGAGAAACGTGGGCTGTTCCCAAAAGATGAGGGGAATAGGATCAAAGCGGATGCACTGGCTCGTCCAATCACTGTTGTGGATCCTGCTGCAAGTGAAGGTGGGAAAATGGATCTTCTCTGCTTGCTCAAGAGATGCCGGCTGAGAAAAAACCAAAGACTTCTTTCGCTGCTCATGAGGGTCCGCTTGCTACCAAGAGGTATGTGATTGACATGACTTATTCCAATGGGAAGAAATGTAAGGCTGCTAGATCTGAGCATGTGGCGTCTTCCATGTTGAGAATGGCTAATACAATTGTGGATAAGATTACTCAGCGTAAAGGTTTTATCATGCCCCCAGTGCCGAAGTCTGTACCAGGACGTTCTTTGGGAGCCAAGTCTGGTTCACCTTTGTAGAGACTTGCTATTATGAAGAGTGGTAAGGTGGACTCTGCTGCTAAAGTGGCGTCAAAGCCTGCTCCCTTTGCTGCTGAGATTGATTCGCCTCAGATTCAAGATCTTAAGCTTGCAATTTCTGAGCTTCGTTTCGCTACTTATGCTAAGAAGAGAGTGGATGAGCTGCAGCGCGTCCGTGTTAGTCTGCTTAAGAAGAATGAGCAACTGAAAGGTGAGAAGGATGGGCTTGAGGTTTTAAGACCTTCTCTATTTCTCCGGAAGACTTGCTTGCTTTTACTTTTAAGGCTTCCATTGGTAAAGTAGTTGGAGAAGTTAGTGCCCAGACTGGGGCAGCCAGGGGTGAAGCGTCGGATGATGCCGCTGCTAAGAGCGTTACGGCTGTTGAAGGTGTGGCGACCGAGTAGTCGTGGGATGTCCAAACTGCTGTAGTGTAGTATTTTAGGTAGCCTTTAGGATTTTCTTTGTTTTTCCTTGTAGCTTTTGTTTTGCTTGAACTCCTTCGGCCTTTGCTAGTTGTTTATAAACATGTTTTCCTTCGTTTTTCTTCAACTTCACTTCTTTTGTTCATGCCCTAACCTTTAGACTTGATAGACCAATGGCAGGCATGCTACTTTTTTATAAGCAGACAAACTCGCGTAGCCTATGCAGCCGTAGGTGTTGGTGTAGAACTTTGCAAAGTTGTTAGCCATAGGGTTGGCAGCCGGATGCCTTACTTACAGAAGCAGACAAGTCCGCGTAACCACTAGGCTGTTAACCTTGACTTTCTTCAATTCCGTAGGTTGCGTAGCAAGTATCACAGCACTTTAGGACTTGGTGTAGGTTGTTCCGCGCTTGGCAGAGGTGAAGCTTATCGACTACGTAGCATGTCGGCAGTGGATAAAACTTCGTATATGCGCGCTAGCTTGTTTAACCTTTCACAAGAATGTGCGGTTGTATAAGTCTAGTGCGGCTTCACTGCTCGAAGGGCAAGCCGTAGGCAGTCTTCCGGAATCCGTAGGCTACCTTAGTGCACTCGGTAGCAGCTTTAGGATTCCAGGGCAGCCGTCCATCGGATGTACTGCGTAATGTGCCCTCTCCGTCTCTAGGGCCCGGTTCCCCAAGGATTAGGCCAAGAGACCCAAAATCCTTCAGTTAGCTAAGCCTTGAAAAAGACCATTGCGGCTACTTCTAGAAATCCCGGCGCAAGCCATCGTGCATCTAGTTATACTATGGCAGCCAGGCTCATCCACATCTGGATATTCGGAGTGTAAAGTTTATCCTCCTGTCTTGGAGAGCTAACCCATATGGGTGTCGGAGAATTGGTTTACCCTCTCGCACTGGAGAGCATGGTTGGTCCCTCGGGAGGCGCAATTCCTGCGATGAGTCCCTAAGAAAGGCGCAGTCTTCTTTTGAAGTGCATGAGTGATTAGTTGTTGTAAGCATGCAGCCAAGCCAAGTTGTGATTACTTCTAAATTCCTCATTGAAAAACGAGTGAAACGAACGAGAACTTTAGCTGTAAGGTAGGAACTGCATAACAACTGGATAGTCCTCAGCTTGTGAGGTGGTGCCCGTCGAGCTTATTGAGTCTTCGGGTTTTGATGTAGCGGGAGGTCACACATGGTACTTCTTCATATTGTAGGCCATCCATTTCTTTTCAATCTTTTTGCCGCTTCATAGTGGTGAGGGTGTAATTACTCTTGCCCCTACTCTGCTGATCTTGTACGGACCTTCCCAGATGGGATCCATCTTTTTGGAGCCTTCTCTGCCGGCAGTGATGAAGGCTTTTCTGCGTCGTCAACATGCAAATGCCAGAAGTCTCCATCGGGTGGAGTAGGCGCAGCTAGAGTGTGCTCGGCTACTTCTGAGGCATCGTTGGGCCGCTCTGTTGCGTCACCTAGGCTCGGCGTGAAGACGCAGTAGGGAGCTGTGGAGATGGGGCCATGTCATACGCAACAGGAGATGCTCAACTGCCGGTATTGGGCCACTCTAGAGTTGAATCATTGAGCAAGGGTCGGCTAGGGCCGTGTGATGCGCAGCAAGAAATGGTACTCAACTGCCGGTACATGTTGCTCCTATGTAGAATCTTTTAGGGTGACTAGGACAAAACTTGCTTTCGAGTGTGTCCTTCCAGTGTTACGTTCGTTAGAAAACTTTACATCCGCCAGGGTCTACGCCTTTATCGTCGCGCGTCTGGATTGGGCAGAATAGTACGTCATTAGGATGATTGCATGCGTTTGAAAGTAAAACTTGTGCTTCTGGGTTGCAACAACTATCGCCAAAGTTAGCTTTTGAATTTTTAATAACATCGAGGAGAGCTTTTGAACTGTAGAATACAGGTAACTGTGGAATACAGGTAGTCGGGCCCCCATCTCTTCTCGCATGATGGTAGAGCTTATTGCTACTTTAGATACCGTCAAACATGTGAATAAGTCCTCCGCTGCTTCTAGAGAGGTGATGTCGGGTACTTCTTCAAGTCCTTGAATGTGCATTGGCGAGCCTCATCCCAAAGTGCATACTTCTCTGCCAAAGCAAAAGAGTCTGCCAGAGTTAGATCTTCTTTCATGATCAATTTTCCAAATAGCAGGTGGTCTGCTGAAAGTCCTTTTTGGAAGGCTGCTCTAGCTATCGAGTCGTTGCATCCGACTATTTTTGCCTTCTCTACTTTGAACCTCCTCACATAGTCGCGAAGTGACTCCTTTGGGTTCTTCTTGACGTTGAACAAATGATCAGATTTCTTTTTGATCGAGCGATAGGATGAATATTCTTTGGTGAAAACCAAA